CTATAACGCAAATGTTTGAGTGCCCATGAGTATTGTTGCACAATTAGCCATATTTAGCATTTGTAAGTGTGCTTTTAATGAATTTTCCTTTTTAGTGAAACTTCAAATTTGAATCAGCTTGGTTGAAAAAAGTTGATATAACATGGTTACGGGAAACTAAGAGGATATGGGTGAAGCAAGGGGAACAAAAAAGGAAGTTATATGAACTTTATTGTAAAGGAATTATAGTAGATTAGAATCCTAAACATGGAATAGTAAATATTTTTAGCAAAATATGATAGAAAGTATTAGTTTAACTTGTATTACAAGAAGTTATAATTAATATTATTGATGGGTATGCATCTCAAGTAGGATTGGATTTACATATTGAAATTCAGTTTTGAAAAGATATGGATGAATTAATGCTAGTAATATCTATTGGAGAGATAGTATACACAAGAGGGGTATAAATGGTTATATAGGAAAATATCAAGTAAGATATTGGATGATTCATGTTGGACATGGATTTGGAGACAAGAAATGATGCTGGGAGCCTATCTTAGATTTTGTTGTGGTGTATGATTTCCTTATAGCAAACACTTCTTTTAAAAAGAGAGATGAACGTAGATGCATCGACTTTTATGAGAACAACTGAAGGGATTCTTTAGGTCCATAACTTTTTGCCTGATTTTGGATAAGTTACCTAACCATATTTAGGATGAGGTTCCATGGTGTATATTATTTATTAATCGTATAGTATTGAGTAGTGAAAGTCTAGTAGAAATTAAGAATAAAATAGAAGTTTAGAGAGGAGTTTTAGAATAAAGATGATTTAAGATAAGTGGAATTAGAACTAACTATGTAGAATTTAAATTTAGTAAAAGTAGAAATCTACATTTGGGATAATAGATACTAAAGTGTAAGTACTTTTGGTCAAGAATCAAAATCTCGATTCAGTGCTTGGTTTTAGTTTGGCTTGGAAACATAAATGTTCTAAAAATTTTTTGGAAATATAATGGAAATAGAGAAAAGCCTAGAAATTTGATTCCAAAACATTTCAAAGTTTTCTGAAACATGGGAATTTTGATTTTCCATCACTGATTTGTTTTAGTGGAAATGAAACAAAGTTCTAGTGTTAATTATCTAAAGAGACAATATGATTGGAGACGATGTTATTCTATTCTATTGCAAGATGGACAAAGTGAAAGACTGCATCTGTTGTATTGTGTGATCAACAAATACCTCTAAAGCTGCAAATTGTACAAGGGTGCAAAAGATTAGATAGGTTTCTTTTTTCTAGTGATTGGAAGGAATTTTTTTCGAGAATTAAGACGGGTGACATTATCCAGAGTTTTGTTTGATCATTCTACTATTGATCTTTTGGATTCTAAGTTTAGATGGGGGTTTTGTCCATTTAAGTTTGAAAATATGTGGGTTGAGCATGTGGATTAAACAAAAATTGACATTTTGGGGTGGGAAGGCTATAAATTTATGAAGAAACTTGAGCTGATTAAACAAAAATTGAAAGGTTAGAACAGAGAAGTTTTTGGGAAGTTAAAAGATGATTGAAAGGATAGAATTAGGAAAATCATTGGTAAGTTAGAGCTTGATAATGGATTGGTTGTGGATGATGATGATTTAATTGAAAGGGAGGTTGTGCATTTCTTTGCTAATCTTTATTTAGCACATAATGCTTTTAGACCTACATTGTTGTGTTTGGAGTGGAGTCCCATTTAGGCAGGAGATTGCTTTGTGCTTTAGAGAGACCCTTCGAGGAGGAAGAAGTTATAAAGGCTGTCTTTGAGTGTAGAATTGACAAAACTCCTCGGCTGGATGGTTTTACTATGATTATTTTCCTAGTTTGTTGGGAAAAGGGTGAAGGATAATTTGATAATGGTTTTTGCAGAATCTTTTTAGAAAGGGGTGGTGATTGTTGTCACTAATGCTTCTTTCATTTGTTTAATTTCGAAAAACTCAACTTATTGAGGATAAAGGATTTTAGACCCTTCAATTTGGAGACTAGCTTGTATAAGATTATTGTTAAGGATCTTTCGGTTAGAATTAGAGTGTTTGGGTGAGTCTGTCTCTTTGTTTCAATGGGCTTTTGTTAAAGGTAGACATGTCTTAAATGTGGCCTTAATAGCTAATGAGATTATAGACGAGTATCGAGTCAGGGGTAAGGAGGGTATTGTGTTGAAGATTGATTTTGAGAATGTGTATAATTATGTTGATTGAAATTTTCTTGATTATTTTTTGGACTTCAAAGGTTTTGGACGTAGGTGAAGAAAGTGGATGAAAGGTTGTTTGGAATCTATTAACTTTTTTGTAATGTTGAATGGAAAACTTATGGAAAATTCAAGACTTCTAGGGGGTTGAGACAGATTGAGCAGATTAATGGAGAGGACGAAAAGATGTAATTTGGTGGACAGTTTTGTAATTAGAAGAGATAGCGTTGTTGTTTCGCATTTGCAATATGTGGATGACATTATTTTTTTTAGGGAAGAGGAGAAAGTGAAAAATTTGAAGAGGATTGTTGATGTGTTTGGGATAGTATTGGTCTTAAGGTTAATATGAAAAAAAGTATAGTGGTGGGAATTAACACCTCTCGGGATAAGATTGATAGATTGATTGTGGATTTGGGATGCGTTGGGGGGAGTTGGCCTTTGAAGTATCTTGGGCTTCCTTTAGCTGGTAATTTGATATCTAGATCCCTTTGAGATTTTGTTATTGAAAGGGTTGGAAATATGTTAGATGGTTGGGAAAAAACTTTTATTTCTAGGGGAGGTAGGTTTGCTTTAGTTCAGTTAGTTTTGACTAATATTTATATATATATTTTGGCTTTTTTTAAGTTACCTGTTCCAGTGGCGAGGGAAATATAAGAAATGATGAGGAATTTTTTGTGGAAAAAAAAGGGGAGGGAAGGAAAGATTACTTGTAACATGGAAGGTTGTGTCAAGATCTAAGGCAAAAGGTAGGTTGTTGAAGGGGAACTTACTAAAGACGAACATAGCCCTAGTTGGGAAATGACTTTGGAGGTTTCCTTTGGAACAATGATCCTTGTGGTGTTTTGTTATTAGGAGTAGATACGAACTACATGCTAATGGTTGGGATGTTAATGGGGTGTAAAGAGGAAGTTTTCGTAGTCCATGGAAATTTATTTCTCGAGGTTTTTCTCTTCTCTCAAATGCTCAACTTCATGGTGGGGAATATGAGTAGGATTCATTTCTAGAAGAATATTTGGATTAGGGAATCTTCTGTCTCTACTCTTTTTCCTTGTATTTATAGAATTTCTAGATTCTAGGGTCATATTGTTTCTCGTGTTAGCTCCTTTTCCTTTCCTATTTTTGCGGATTTTGGATTTGGTAGAAGTCATTGTTGAGCTTCTTGAGACTTTAAAAAATGTCTCTTTGAATCATGGGAATATAGATAAAAGGGATTGGATCATTTATCCTTCAGGTGTTTTTTCATGTAAATCATTCTTTGAGTCTTTAATTGATGGCCCTTCATTTCCTTCTTATCCTCCATCTAAGATGATTTGGGAAGTTGAAGTGTCCCTAAAGGTTCAAACTTGTGTTTGGATAATTGTTCATGGCAATATCAACACTTACGATGTTCAAAGAAGAAGACCCAAGGTTTGTTTTCTTCCTCAATGGTGTGTTATGTGCAAAGGCAATTGCGAGAGTGTGGATCATTTATTTTTACGTTGTCTCATTGCATTGTCTCTTTGGAATAGGTTATTTTATTATGCGGTTCTTTGTTGGGTGGCTCCAAGAATAATTTGCTCAATGATTGGTATGGATGGGATTTGCGGGGGTGGCAACAAAAGATGGAAGATTCTTTGGCGAGGTGCATGTTTTGCTGTCATTTGGGGAATTTGGTTGGAAAGGAATGCTAGGATTTTTGATGACAAATATGAGATGGTTGATGGACTCTGGGATAGATTTTTTTCTTCGCCTCTTTTTTGGGCCTCGGTGTCAAAATAGTTTCTAAGGTATTCTATTTTTTTTTTATTTTGCATTGCGTCAAATTGGAGAGCTTCATGTGGGATGTAGATGTTTTGCTTTTTTCATATGGGTGGGCTTCCTGCTTTTGTTTTGGTTCTGTTTTGGTGTTTTNTGTATTTGTCCAATTTTTAGTAGCCAGGTTGGTTCTAGCATGAATGTACATAAGGTAGAAATTATAGCTTTATGGACATTAATTGGGGGAATTGTTTGGCAGTACAGTGAAATAATCATATTATTGTCACAGATGACTGTTTGGCAATATGTTGGAAAACAGCTGTTGCACCAGAATGCCTTTACGTTGCAGTTGAAACTTTAGCAGGATAAGCTGTAACTACTGTCATTACTTAACCAACACTTTTTCATGAATTAAAACTGACTGCAACAACTATAATTATTCACCCTGGCAGCAAATTACAGCACATATTTGAATAGGTCCTTAAGAATCAGATATCTTCAAACATGGCGTAAAATTTTTTATTGTCTATCTCACCCATCCCTCCAACATCTTCATACAATATATGACAATCACCGATTGCTCCGTTTTGTATTGCCAATTTGATCAAAAAAAAAATTCCCACTGACGCCAGCATAATTACTAACGAATCCACACCAATTTCTGAATACTGGATGTTTTTTATTGAATTTCACACTGCAAAAATTTGACAAAAAACTAGGACGGAAGATGGCTAATTGATCCAATACATAACAGGAGATGCTAAATTACATGTCAATTGACATTAATTTGTCAATTTCATGTTCCCAGGTAATTTTGGCAATACTAAACTTTGATTTTCTCCTCCGTGAAGGCCTAGATGTTCATTGGCTGTTCGATTCAGTTTCAAATTTAGGCATTAAAACATGTCAAATATGACATTGACATCTCTAACTTCATAAAATACAACAATTATTTGGCCGGCGGTGGCCGGATTAAGTCTGCTTTGTACAGACAAGGCTGAACTAGGTTCTGCTGTAAAAAGAAAGATGGGGAGGCTATGAGGATGTGAACAGTGAAGCAGAATGCACTGGCGAAGCTCATTGAAACTTGGTGATAGCCGACAAAGGGTGTCTATGGTCTGGGGCATGGTTTGGCCGAAGAAGACACTGCACAGATAAGAGCTTCAGACGGTTGGGGTTGAATGTTAATGCGAGAGGTGGGGTTGAAGGGCGAAGGAGAGTTTATAGAGGGGTATGATGATGGGTAGTATGTTTAAAAGATCTAGGGCACAATTGTTATTATCAAATTTCATAAAGCAAACGCTTTGGTCAAAAGCCTGTAAGTATCCCATGAGCTGCTCACAGATTATGGGGTATTTAAGTTATAAAATGCTTAAATAAGCTGGCATAATTTTGGCCAAACAGCCATCCTCAGCTTTGTTAACTTGATAAGCTGGATTTTAGTTTGTTCCAAACGGGGACTTAGTTGACTTCTATTATAAGCATTGTGTTCAGGATCTCCTTTTTTTGTATTTTCTGGACGTGTACTTTGCTTTATTGTCCGTACTTTGTTTTATCATCTTCAATATTGGAGAAGTAACCCTCTTGCTGCTGGTGTTTCAATCACAAATGAGTTTTGGTGTCTACCTCTTATAACAGGCCCTTGCTGACACGACTGATCATGAAATCTATGTGACTTTGACGTGTTGCTACAATGAGAAATACGACAGTGTCAAGGGATCAGTTGGCACTCAGCTTGTTGGTGAAAGGGTGAAAATAATTCTGGATGAAGTTCGGGACTTATCTCTTTTTACACGCATCCAGTGTCTGCAGCATATTGGTACTTACCCATGTTATTCGTCATAGTTCAATACTAGTCAGAATATACATATACATCACATGCGTTAATTTGCTACATTATTCAGGGGAACACTTTCAACCTGCTATGGACGGGCTCGAAAACGAGGGTTACTCTGTTGTAAGTTATATTTTTAATGGATCCACAAACCTTTTTCTTTTTGGATAGAATAGAGAAGAAAACCGAATGAAATAGGGCCTTTTTTCTGGGATCTGTTTCATGAGACACTTTGTCTTCTGGTTACTTTCATTTTCCTTCTTGGTTTTGTAGGTTGGAGATGCTGTTCTGAAAGACTACATATTTGTCCACCTTGATAGCAATCATGAAAAATTCAATCTGCTCATGTTAGCTACTTTCCCTAAATACCTTAGGTTTTCTTATTTGTGTTCTCAAGATAATATTCTGATGATGTGTGTGACTTGCCGTTTTCTATTGCTTAATGGAACTGCCTTTCTTATTCTATTTGTTGTTTTAATTTTTTGGGTGGAATTTTGTCCAAATATTCTTCACATAGTTCTTCTCTTTTAGCTTCATGCTGCAGAAGCTATTTTCTCTTGTGGATCAGACTTCTGTGCCTGACAACCCAGATTCCTTGCAAAATCAGGAAGTGTTGCTGCCTGGTCATTTAATTATAATTTATGTCAAGGTATATTTTGAAATTCATTATGTGAAACGAAATGGTTCATTTCTGTTCTAATTTTGTACGTAACATGACTATTGAGGCTGTTTAATTAATCTAATTTATCAAGTATTGATTTTTTTTGCCTTTTTTTTCAGTATTTTATGGTGTAAAGTAGAGGTAGAGTAGGACATTATATGCCAAAAATTGTCTGTAACCAGAGCATAAATTTATCTAATAACTGAAATGGGGATTGCAGTGTAATACTCGGTTCTTTGCGATGCATTGGAAATGCATATTAATTAGATGGGAAAAAAATTATTCAGGATATTCATGAGATCGGTTTGCAAACTATGACTTATAATTCCATTAAAATCATTGCCAAATTATTGTCTTCCTTCAATTGTATCACAAACATTATAGTGTTCAGAGATTTCTCCTCTTTCATTTGAAGAGATACAAAATAAAACAATGCTTGTGGTTTCAAATCTTCAACTGTGTGGAATTATTTTTTTAATATATGATGGCTTTGCACCTCATATGGGTTTTTCTTTTTATTGCTACTTTATATAGGTTGCTAACATGTTTCTTTTGGCTATGAAAATTCTGCTTTCGGTGGCAGTAGTTTGTATGCCAGGCTTGGAGACCCAATGGTTTTGTTATGTTTGTTATATAGGACCCAAACAAAACAGTATATTAGTTGAATGTTGTGCGGTGTATTTACTTTTTGATATGAAACAAAACTTTCTTTTCAAAGAATGAAAGATGCACATGTACATAAATGGTGGATAGGAATTCACTAAAAAAATAAAAAGTTAAAAGAAATTAAACGGTTTCCAATTGAGTTGGAAAACAGATGGAGTTTCATGAACATCATTTGTTACCGAGAGATGTCAAGAACTTTACTCTATCTCATAACTATTCTTTTTCCTCCTCCTCCCTTTTAAGATTTCCACACCACCTAAAAAATGACCAAAGCAGCGCATCTCCCCGAAGTGGAAGCTTTATTACTAGTCAAAAATCATCAAAACATATCACAAACAATGAAACACATTGGCAATGTGAAATCCACTTCAAATTCGTCTCCCACAAAAACTTATGCCATAAGAAAATAGCAACAGACAATGAAAGCAAAGGTGATCAATACTTTCACAACATTGCTTACACATAATACACTAACGAGGGGAAATATAAGTGTTAGGTCTTTTGTCTTGCAACATGTCACAAGTATGTACCTTACCGTGAGTTATCATCCAAGCAAGCAGTTGCACCTTAACATACACCCTTACCTTCCAAATCATCAAGTGAGGTTTAAGTATAGAAGCATTTGGGACATCATTCAACCATTGAAAATAGGAGCAACAATTTTTTTTTTGGAAGAATGAAGGGACCAAACGTTCTATTAGTAACCAAGAAACCCAAAGAAACCAAATAAAGCAAAGAAACAAGGGAAGAACATTCCATGATGTCCCAATCAATTAGACTACAAAAATTATTAAAGTTCCACCCCCGTGGGAAGGATAAGTACTAAACATGCTATGGGAATATTATGAGAACCCGACAATCTATAGAGCCGAGAAAACAACAAAGCCAAAGATGACTTAGCAGATTAAATATCTTCCCAAGAACGTACTCTTTCCCCATTCCCCACTCTGAAAATAACATGCATTCTAATATCATCCAAACGTTGGGAAATAAATTTACAAGGATTATGGAAAGACTCACCACGTTGGATTCCCATCCATTGGCATGGACTCCATACTTACTCTGGATAATGAAACTTCCAAAGTCACTTTCCGGACAAAGCCGCATTCCTCTTTACTATTTGTGCAGTGTATTTACTAACAGCCATCTTCCCTAGAATATTAACTGCTGGCTGGACAGGTGAAGTGGTTTCATGGTTCTTTTTGGCTTCTTTAATAAAACTTCCATTTCAAGACGAGAGACATTAGCATCCGATAGTTGTATGCTTAAGTAAATATTTGATTGTATTGGTCCCAGTTCAGGACTATGAGTTCTCTTCATTTTTTTAATAGTCCATCTAATTGTACTTATTCCTCGTTTTGTTGCAAATACACTTTGAGGTAGTGATCCAAAATTTAGGACCATGAGTTCTTTTCATTTGTTTAATTACCTGTTGTAAACTTTTAAGTACTAGTTGCAAATTCTCCTTGTAGTACTTGATACGTTGAGCTACATTTGAAGTTTTTTAGGTTCGTACAGTGATTACAGGCCCCATTGATTTCTTGTTGTATCCAGGAAAAGCTACAAGATTGGCTGCTCAAGGTGAGACGTCTACTTCAGGATGAAATCAATAGCAAGAGCAAGAAATTCGAATTCAACAGCTGTATGCTTTACCCTTCCTCTCATATATTTGGTGAAACAGATTAGCTTGTTCTCAATATGTTTCCTCTTGTGATGAGTTGATTTTTTCTTTTTAACAATCCTCTCCCCTCCCCTCACCTCCCTTCCATCTTTTAGCATGAAGTTTATAATTTTATTGCTAAAGAACACTGCCATTTTTGACATGGAAGTTAATCAAAACGATGCATGTTGCTCATTATTAATGTTGATTAATTGAGCCAAATATGTTGATTTCATACCTTTAGTTTGTCATCACTCATCACATGCATATTACTGCCTTTATCTTTCTTGTCTATTCTGGAATCAATGAACTTTATTCTGTTGATGAAAATTGGTATTTCTGAATAATGTGTCAATGGATTGGAGGGGAACACATGCATGAATATGTAGACTTTGTGACATTTGTGCTAGGGATTTGACGTTTGAGTGATGAAGAATCTATTGAACAAACGCTCTAGTTTAAATTTTAACTTGAGATGATATCTTTTCCCCCACAAAAAAAAAACCGCATTAATTGAGGATATTCTTCTCACGAGGGGATAATAGAAGGAAAAGCTGATGCTTGCTGGATACTTAAGGTGGCAATGACAGCTTCTTTTCATTTCAATTTTTTCTGCATTACTTCATTGAATGGCCAGTGGGAACAATCGAAATAATTTAATTTAATTGTAAGAAAGGCCGGTGGAATTAGAAGAATATGATTGGATCCAACTAAATAAACTAAGGTGCTATTTTTAAAGATATGTGCCTTCCGAGGAGATTCTGAAGGTTCTTGTAAATATTTATGCAAGTTCAGAGGAGACCTTTTCATGTTGGTAATGAGTTTGGTGATATCTCTTGGAGGGTGGATAAACCCTATGAAGTAAAGATTTACAAAAGCACTATTTGTGATGGATAGGGGAACTCCCCAGCCCCTGATCCTCTCCTTCCATTTAGCTTTGGTCTTGCATGCTAATTAGTGCTCTAGGAGCTAGAGTGTTTTATTTGTTTGTTTGTTTCCCCCACATGCAGACCCTTGTTTAGCATACATTATTGAAAGCTTTTAGCTTAAAGGTTTAGTACGTAAATGAAGATTTTCAGATTTGTGGACTGTGAAAGGATTGGAATTGAAGATGAACAGTTGGTAGAGTTTCGAAGAATGAGTTTCTAGACAAGGACAATTAAATTGTTGTCCTTGTTTACCTAAATACTAGAGGTATAAAAATGGTTATGCAAATCTTTGGGGTGAAAATTTGAAAAATAAGGGCTTTATATTAAAACTTGTGAAATTGCTCGGGATATATTTTGGACTGCCACTTCAACCGTGGTCATATGATGTTGTAGATACAAAGTATACATGGCTCCTAAAATAGATCACACAGCAGCAGATATACATCGTTTGTTAGAGATATGATAAGGTTTGGTCCAAGAAAAATTTATCACAAAAAAGTCTACAATGAGTCCAGTAGGGAAGTCCCAATTTACGGTCATTCTTGTTAGCTTGCTGCATCACAGAATATGCAGAATGCGAGATTAGGCGGGACCAGTGGGTCACTATGAGATTTCCTCTGCAATTTATATTTCAACCTTTATAGGCTTTAGTTGTTTGTTTTTGTCAAAAGTTTATGATCCACTACCCCTAATAAAAGTGGCAGCATCAAATTTTATCCTGATGTGTGATTTTACTAATTTACCCTCCGCTTGCTTGGTTATCCCATTCACATCCCTGCATTTATATCTGCCTTCAATGGGACATATTAACTGCTCACATCTTGCTTTGTTTTGCAACACTTCTGCCCATTTTCCTCGGATGGGAAACACTTGCAAATTGGTGTACTTACGTCACCCATGCTACACCAGTGTATGCACAACTCCAACTAAGAACCAAAGGGCAATGCCAAAGGCATAAATGGCTTCTTTGTTTTTTGGTCAAAGCATTAACTCCTCCATTCTTCCAACATTGATCTTCTAACGTCACTTGCAAGCACCAACTTCCTCCCTCCATCTCTCTCTCTCTCTGGGTATCATGATTTGATTTTCTACTCTGCACGTTCACTGCTCTCTCTCTCTCTCTCTTCTCGGTCTGCATGGGTGGCTTTGCCAACCAGATGTCTGTGACATTGGCAAAAATGATGTACTCCACCTATCCCTTTATGGTAGGGGTCAATTGAAGCATATGTTGTTTTCTGTTGCTTGTAACGATTGTCCTTCCAATTGCAATGGCGGTGCCAATTCCTGATACATGGTGTCTGTTCATGGTGGTGAGCAATTGTACTGCAAGGGCAGTGCCCGATGCAGCAGTTAAATCTTATCACTCATTGGTTGCTCATTCTTAACATGCAATTCTAAAGACCTTCGGATTTAAATGTGGTGATATATATGGTTATTTTCTTAATTGTAATAGCAGTTGCTTGTGACTTGGTTCAAAAAGTTGAGGAAGATTTTTTAAAACTTCATTTTTTTGAAGTATAAACTAGTGCCCTTTTGTATGGGGCTGGGGAAGAGTTCCTCGTCAAACTGGTTCTGACACTTCATATTTAGCAAATTTTTCTTTTTTTGGGATACTGGATTCCCTATACATGGATAGTCTATTCTTTTACAATGTTTTAAATAAAAACCAGATCAATGAAATACAGTCCTTTGCAGTAATTTTTTGTTAATGAAGTCCTGGATAATTAGGTGAGTACTCAGACCTTATTATTAACACACTTTAGCATAGAATTTGATATGAACAAGTTTTTTGGCCTGATGTCATGCAGTAGCCCATGTGAAGAAGGTCATGGATAAATATCCTTCAAGACAAATTAGCTCAGCTGTTGAAACTATGTTGAAGACTGGAAGATTGGCTACACAATCAGGTCTAGATTTACAGCAGGTATAAGTTAATGACTATGCTCTCCTTTTGGCTCTTCCTTTTTTAAAGTAGTAAATTAACTCTTAATCTGACTCGTATGTCAGTCCTTTACTTTCCCTGCAATTTTCTTGTTAGCGAGCTGGCTTGACAGTTCAGGCAGAAAGGCTCAACTTTCTACGGTTTTTTTCACATTTTCGAGCTATTCATCGAGGCGCTTCGTTTGCGGGTCTTCGCACTACAAGCGTGCGGAAGTTGTTACCCGAGTATGTGATTTTTCTTTCCCTCCTTCTCTAGCTAGGTCATTTATGGTTTCTTTTTGCTACTTTAAGTTTTTGTTTTGATTTTTTCCTCTGTTTACCTTCTGCTGATCTGCAGAGGTTGGGGTTTTCTTTGCCCTGTTCACACACCTGATGGGGAGCCATGTGGGCTGCTGAATCATATGACTTCTTCTTGTCGTACGTATATATCTATGTTTTTAAGTCTAATTTCCTTGTTGATAAATGAGTATTTTTCTTCTTTTTGTTGTTAGTCAACTGACAAATGGTAGAAAAAAAAAACCAACCTCATAATATTTTTAGCATTGAATTGCATCTGAATCAAAATACAAAGCATGGGGTCCCCATCACGTGTGCAAAAGTTGTAGTTGTGTTGGCAACAATTGGCTGGGACATTCAGAGGTTATTGTCATTTTGAGAAATCATCATGAGCATTCAATTATTGGAATTTGATTTGACGATTCTCTCCTTCTCTCTAAAATAATTTTTTGCCGGATCAGATAACATGTTAGTTCTCTTTCCTTCCATTTTCCTTGCTTTGTATTTGTATGGCTTCTTGTTTATCTTACCTGAATGCATTTGATTGTCGTGCATACGGATATGGGATCGTTCAGTTGTATTCATGTGAACTAAAAAGAGGTGAGAGAGAGAGGGAGAGAGAGAGAGAGAGAGAGTAGTTTAAAAGAGAGAGAATTGGGTGCTCTCCCAATAACTAATTAGCTTATGTTAATTATAATTTGATATCTCAAACTACAAAAATACCCTTCAGTTACACTGGAATGATGAAATTCTCACAATTCTAGCACCCATGATCAAGCAAAGTTCTANACTAATTAGCTTATGTTAATTATAATTTGATATCTCAAACTACAAAAATACCCTTCAGTTACACTGGAATGATGAAATTCTCACAATTCTAGCACCCATGATCAAGCAAAGTTCTAAGATATGACGCATCTCGGCCAACCAAGAACTAAACGGAACAACATATTAGATATGCGCTTTATCAAATGGTCTACAAGCTGATCTCTATTCTTCATAAAAGCAGTACAAATTAAACCAAAATATGTATTTCCTTTAATGAAGTGTCAAACATCGTCTCTCCTGTTGAACTGAATTGTTAATAATATTTTTTTTTTGGTAAAAGAAGAAATTATATTTGAGAAGGGAATCAAAAACCAAAATACATTGTGGAGGACAAAATATCCTAAAAAAGAATATAAAAGCAATAAATATCAATGAATGGCTGTAAGGTTAAACTAAAGCAAGGCCGCATTCCAATCCCGTGGGACTAGTGGGAGGTCCGACAAACACTAACCCTCTAAAAGTCCATGCGGCTTTGGTCCATAGTGAAGCTATAAAAAAAACTCTTTTCCATTCTAACTCTAAAGGAAGAATGCATTCTTCTCCATCCAAATTTACCAAAGAAGTGCCATCAAAGCACAATTCCATAACAACTTTGCTTCCCATTTCTTTCAAAAACCCTGAAACTTAATGTGCAACAATTCTTCCACTGTAGAAGTACACACCTAAACCTCACCAACCATCTTGAATAAATTATTCCACAAACCCATACAAAAACACAATGAATGAATAAATGGCGTCTTATTGTACAATGCAACTTTATTGTCCCTTCGGAATCTGCCACAGTAATTCGTAGACCATGAGTTATAGCTTTGAATTCTATCTTTGCTCTCGACCTAGCAACAACTAACACCTGATTTCCACTTGCAAAGGTAGAATGCCTGAAAGTTGATCTTGTGTCTCTGCTACATCTGGACGAGTCTATGTCTGCATAAATTTCCAANAGAATGCCTGAAAGTTGATCTTGTGTCTCTGCTACATCTGGACGAGTCTATGTCTGCATAAATTTCCAATTGCTGCCAATCATGTTTAGAAATAATAACTCTGACCAGGAGCCAATTTCTGGTGCCTTACAATTCAATGAACAACCTCTGTATAAGAATCACGAGATAAGTGTGTGAATTGATTTCCTTCATTGTGTGCAAAATATCTCAACTCGTATGAGACTGATAAAAAAGTTTACCCACCAGCCTCTAGGAACAGGAGCATCGTCAACACGTTTTCTCAGCCTATGGTTCTGCTAGATAGGGTATCGATGGGCTTACACTCTAGCATTCTTGTCTCCTTGAAAAGGTTGAGCACATACTTCTGTTGTGAAATGAAGATACCTTGTCTAGATCTAGTGACCTCAATACTCAAAAAGTACTTCAAACTTCTTGATCCTTCACAAATTCTTTGGCCAACTTCACAATCTGGATGATATCTCACCATTGAGTACAATGTATCAATATATATAAATAGTGCAGTTACCTTCCCTTGAGAGAATGCTTAACATACACGTTATAATCACCATAATCTTAGGGATAAATATACCTTTACACAGTTGGACTTGGCCTCTCAGATCGTGCCCTTGGAGATTGCTTTATATCTTACAACAATTTCCTCATTCTACATACTGTGCTACTATCAAAGGTAAGCTTGAATCCTAGAAGAGCATTCATGTACACTTACTCCTCTTGGTTGCCATGGAATAATGCATTTTTCAAATCAAGTTGTGAGACCAACTTAGGTTTGCAACCAATGAAAGCATGGCACAATACAATTCATTCTATCAAATGTCGAGTAAAGTGTTTGGCCACCAACTTGGCCTTGTATCTTTCAAGTTAGCCTTCTTTCTTAACATTATAAACACCCATTTACATCTAACTTGTTTCTTTCGTTCAGGTAACGCAATCAATTCTCAAGTACCGTTCTTTCATAGTGTGCTCATTTCTTCACACATCACTGTCGGAGCGTAATTATGAGGAATATAGATGCAAAATGAGGATTAGATTATGAAAAGTTGGGGCAAAAATACAACATTGGATATAGTATGTTGATTATAAAAAACAAACCCCTCATGAAGGGCAATGGGAATGTCAGAATTAGAATCAAGAACTAATATTTCATTAGTAGAATCAAGAATAAGTATGGATTACCTAAACTTGAGGAAACTTTTGGCAAGTTGAACGGAGAGAAAATCTTATTCTTCTATCTCATTTTATGGAATAAAACCTCAAATGCCTTCTGAGTTTTTTGCTACTTCTCATTATGACTTTTGTGCTCTTATTCCAATTGAAAGAAGGCAACTGATGACAAAACAAATCAAACTTTGTCTTCACTCAAATCTCCTCCTAAAGAAAAGTTCCAAGGAAAAAATGAGCCTCGACGTTAACGAGAGTAACCTAACATAGAAACCAATTTCTTACCTAAAGAATGGTGTTATCATTGATAAAATCCTTGTGTTGGTGTCTTGGTGAAAAACCAAGAAAAATGAATTTGGTAGATTTTGGCTCTAATTTATTTTGAATACGATTAGGACAATTAGAAATATGGACAACTAACACACCCACATGCTCTAGGTGAATTAGAAAGCGATTAGATATGTTGGGGCAAGTATCCTATCTTCCCATTATAGCGTAGGAGCTATCCTAAAGATCTAGCAATGTCTAATAGAAGTTATTAAATAACTATGTATTCAAAAAGTGTAAGTTGTTGGAGAGGGTGTAACTTAAGTATTTATATTTCAACAAACTCTCTTATGTTTAGGTTAGATTTTGGGCCTAGCATGTGAAAGTCTTTTAATAATTAGGGTGGCAACGAGATTTGAACATTAGACTTTCTACTCTGATATCATGTTAAACAACTATAAAAAATTATATATTCTAAAAATTTAAGCTTTTAGAGAGGGTGTAATTTAAGTATTTATACTTTAACAGATGTGTTTCTTCCTTTATGCAACTCCATTTTTCTAAAGTATAGCATTACATGTATTTGGTGTTTGATGTTTGTTTATCTAAATAAGAACGAAGACCATCTTAAAAGTACCCTCTATTATCGGCACAAGCAAGTTTTACTTGAGTTTGAAATTGGGTAAGCACCATTTTATAGAGTATGTGAAAGCAATAAAACTCTTCACTTTTTCCTTCAATTAATAAAACTATGGACTAGAAAATTTATCAATTAATATCAGAAACCATATGAAATGTGATGAACTAGCAATTCTAGAAGGCTTAAAATCAGTATGGACGATGGAAAAAAGAAAATTTTTATGAAAACTAACAAGAAATGACAACCAATAGATGTGTTGCAAGCTTCATGCACTTCACAATGAAATTTAAAGACATTGAACCTAGAAAACAAGGAAGGAAATGACTTTTGGTACAAAAGAAATAAAGGTTTTGCCAAACTCTCTCCTCATAAGTATCACAACTCTCTGAATTATGTGCTCGTTCAATTTGATCATCGTTCTGCCCTCATGAATCCAAAAAAATAAAGACAATCTCTCCTTTCATGACAAGTTCTTGAAAAATACAATGTGATGAAAGAACGTCACACTATGATTTAATTTCTTTGTAATGCTCTTGATAAGAGAAGGTTAGTAGAGAGATCAAGGATATGTAAAATATATAATATCACATTGATGGGGTAATTGAAGTAGAACCTTTACTAGACACAGAAGAAAGACAAGGTCAGGTGTTTTAACTCTTTGGTTTCTTGAAAAAGTAGTGTACAAAGAGGCCAAAGTTGACAACTTAGTTGCATGATCAAAAGTCCCTAAAGCAATGATCCAAGATGTGAGAAAATGTATTACAAGATGCATTCAATGTTGGAGTTGTCTTAGTGGGTAAATGAAGTAGATATAATGGATACTGTAGAACTATTGTTGGGCATGTTGGTGCCATCTTGATGTCTTGTTTCACATCGCAAACTTCAAACAGTCATCGTCTCTACTCTAGCACATAATCATGTGAATCTCAATTCGTTTGTGTTGTCTTTTGTGTCCTCTCTTTTCTTTCTTGCGCTCTATCATTCATGTATTGTTAATGTCTATGTGCATGTCTCACTGTTTGTATCCTTATTTGTTTATCTTTGTGTAGCTCTGCGTATCTAGTTACTTATAAATGAATGACTATATATCTCTATAAATGTGAATAAGTTTGTGTATGTGGCTTATACAACTATATATAATGACAATGGGTTGCTTCCAATCATGGATGAAATACAATTTGTGTAACTTTTTTCTCATTTTAAACAGTGTCTCATTGAAGTTGGGCTTCATTAATTCTGATAGTTTTGGCTAGGAGGTTGATGTGAGCTTTGAAAGTGTGGGGAAGTCTCTTGTATCTAAACCTAACCCAGGGCAAAGACTAAATTTCGTTGTAAAACAGTCGAAACGTCCGAAATGTTTTTGTTTTCATGGAAATCGAACAAATTTTTGAGGTGTTTTGGTAGGTTTTGAGGTATTTCGGCATGTTTTGACTATGTTTTTGTATGTCTCACCAAAGTTGTGGAAATAAATTTTGAAAGTTTTCTTTGTTTCCCTCGTTTCCGTTCAACCTCACTGAAATTATGCACCGAAACAAAATTTTGATCTTTGTCCCGGGGAAATGTGTAATTTTTCTCTTATATTTTTTGAAGCCTCGCGATATACAATAGATCCCAGGCAAACAAATTAAAAAAATTAAAACATGGACTATTTGTGTTTTATCTTTTCTTATTAAAAGATTGGCCTTGTAAAACCTTCTTTAATAACCTGGGATAATATTACTGTTGCAAATATCAATTTGACAGATATCAGATGACATTAAGTTAATTACTGATTTAACTTATGTTCTATTTGATAGTTTTCTGGGAAATTTTTATTTTCCCAAATTTTCACTGGGAACACGTGGTGCACTCCTTGTTGAAAACATAAGGACTTGCTTTTATGTTCTAGGGCAGAAGAATTATATCAGTTGTTCTGGGACACTTTTAAAATGGTCGAACTTTCGGTAGAACGTGGGTCTCCAAAACTTGTTCGTATGTGTTATATACTATGCCTAGTTTCAAGTCTTTCAGTCAAGTATAGATTCCTATGGGCTATTGGCATTTGCCAGTATATTTACTTGTGAATTTTGGCATTTTATGTGTCATATTGTGTATCATATTTTAATTGGAAAGATGCCAGTTCTTATTTCTCCCTGGAGTTCTTTCAATTTGCAATACAAATATAAAATTAGGTGGCTTAGTGAAGCCTGTTAGATTGTATTTTTCTTTAATTACTAACTTGTATATGAGGAGGTGTGACTAACATTTATTTTGCATCATGATGATAGGTGTCACATCATATTATGATTCACAAGGAAATATAAGGGACTTCTTCAAAATACGATTGTCTATTCTCAGTGTTCTGGTTGGAGTTGGTATGACACCTTCATCGCCAAAGCTGGTTCAAGCTGGCCCTCCTGAAGTTCTATCTGTTCTTTTGGATGGTCGTGTTGTTGGCTCTATACCATCTGATATTGTCGAGAAATCAGTTTCGCACTTACGAAAATTAAAATTGTCTTCAACCTCAGTGGTGTGTTTTGGTCCAATTCCTTTTACTTCAAATCCCTTTTTTTTTTGTCCTTGACTATTTGTTGATAAATGTGTGGCAGATTCCTGATGACCTGGAAGTTGGATATATTCCTCTGAGCTTGGGTGGAGCATACCCTGGTTTGTACCTGTTCACATGTCCTTCTAGATTTGTTCGCCCTGTTAGAAACATCTCTGTTCCGCCTCAGGAAGGTAATGATGTTGAACTAATTGGGGCTCTTGAACAGGTGAGTACTACTTTTTTAGTTACATTCTCTTGCATTATTAGAGTTCTTTCTGCATTAAAAAAATTTGGGCTTCCCTAACCTGTTAAAGTGGTGCTTGTGTGCATTAAGCATCATCTGCTAATAGCTAAGTTGTAAATCTATCATGTGAATAGGTTTTCATGGAAATAAGTTGTCCAGATGGTGGAAATGGAGGGAGGAGAAATAATTTCCTTGCCACTCATGGAGAGATTCATCCAACTGGAATACTCAGCGTGGTTGCAAGTCTTACGCCTTGGTCTGATCATAATCAGAGCCCCCGTAATATGTACCAGTGCCAGGTTTTTTCCGGATGTTGAAAGACACTTGATGTTTTATATGCTTATCTATCAAGTCTGCTTATATGTAAAGAATTTATGTGCATCGGTTTTTGATGTATTGCAGATGGCAAAACAAACAATGGGTTTTTCTTTACAATCAATACACTGTCGTGCAGATCAAAAGCTTTATCATCTTCAGGTCTGTAAATATAACTCTTTGTCATTGGTTTTGTTGGATTGAATGTTGTTGATATAATCCTGCTATGGATTGATTCCTTTATTACCATTATTTTCCTTGTTTTTCTTCTATTAGTATTGATGTTTTTATTTCTTATTATCTAAATGCCATCATGATATTGGATGAATGCTCAAAGGGCAAGTTTAGATCATCTGATTGGATGGTGATCAAATTCCAGGATTGAGTTATCCCTCATCTCACATTTTCTTTGGAGTATTACTTAGCGTTATTGGCTTGCTATTGGCAGTTTTAGTAAGGAAAGCACTTGACAACCAGAATTTATCACAAGAATTGCCACACAGAATGAAGTGGTAGTGGGTTTTTTGTTATTGCATGACATTAATTGTCCTTTGTTTTGAAATAGAAGAAGAATAGTGGACCACATAATTTTGTTTTGAAACTTGTACATACTGATTTGTTATTTCCCAGTTTGTTGCCAACAAACACTGAAGCTGCGAAGGAAAATATAATATATGTAACAATTAATCATACTTTATATTTTAGTAGGTAATAATCATACTTTTCAGTTCTCTTATTATAGTTAATATTCCCTTTAAAAAATCAAAATTTCTGACATCATGACTTTAAATCCTAATTTGTAAAGAAAAACACCACCTAGTGCGAAAGATAAATGGTCTTTCCGGCTAAAAAGGCTATTTTTGGCTTTCATTCAGTATGAGAAAGTGGGAGGACTACAGATAAGTACTCTCACATTTCAAGGACATTAGAAGTAGAACTGCGTAGTTTTTACTATCAGACAGGACTGTTGTTCCCTCCTGGAAATTTCTCTCTTATTTTATGAAAGTGTAAATGTTAATAAATTGTGGCAGTAAAATCCAAATAAAGAATGCAGAAGACAATGGCAGTGTCAAACAGCTTTTGGCAGACATTGCAAATGGAGTAGCTAAGATTTTTTATTTGACATTATTCCTCTGTGAAATTCATTAACCCCTTGATGGCGTTATTTCTTTCCTGAAATACTCTAACCTNAATGGCAGTGTCAAACAGCTTTTGGCAGACATTGCAAATGGAGTAGCTAAGATTTTTGATTTGACATTATTCCTCTGTGAAATTCATTAACCCCTTGATGGCGTTATTTCTTTCCTGAAATACTCTAACCCCTTGGCCAGCAGTATTCATATTCCGTGACCATGATTGCTCCACGTCATACATTTCTACCTGAAACTGAAACTGAAACCCACGGCCACTTCCAAAATCTGAAGTGTGACTAGTTAGTGGATGTCAATGGAAAAAGTAGATAATTTATTCAGCTTTATGTTTAGAAACAACATTGTGCAATGAAGATGAATGTCATACCTAGCAAGTATCCATCATGGATAATATCAGATCTAAGATAATGGCTAAACCATTTCAGGGAACAGTGGGGGACTTCCATATTATAAGTCATGGTCTCACCATCATTGCCTAAACATGGATAATTTGATGGACATCCCTTTTTTAACTAAATTCCTGACATAGATGAAAATGACATAAAATATACATCATAAAAATTGTTATCATCATGCATTAGCTGTAAAAATACACTAGTTGTAAGTTCTTTAAGAGCTCAGCAAACTCTCTGAAATTTCTCTTCTGGCCAAATAATCCTGGGCACTGTCTTTGGTTTTGTGTTGACTCTGATCAGTGTCGATCGAGTAATCTCTCATATATAGTTTTTTTTTTTTTATGTCTTTCCGTCTCTGTTAGTGCATGCATTTTCGATGCAGAAATAACACCAGCTACGGAATAATGGTTCTGTAATATGATAGGATTTTTGAACGGTTTATTATCTCGTTAAGATGGCTCTTATCTCTTGAATCTGTGTTGCTAATTGTCTTCATTTTCTGTATTCTGTTTTGTCCTCCTCTTTTATGTTTCAATGCAAATGGGTCTTCATAGACTCCGCAAAACCCCATTGTACGTACCAGTGCCTATGAAAAGTACAGCGTGGACGAGTTTCCTTTAGGAACCAATGCAATAGTGGCTGTTTTGGCTTATTCAGGGTAAGAATTTCTAATTAGTATGTTGGATTTCTTTATCAGTTGGCAGCAATTGATTGTAGTTTGTGGTTTTCTTTACCTTACGCAGATATGATATGGAGGATGCCATGCTTTTGAATAAATCGTCTGTGGATCGTGGGTTCGGTCATGGTTATATATACCAGGTATGCTCTGGCCAGTTGGCATGGTGCGATTTTTATCAAAAGTCATAAGTTTCACGAAAGGGTATGATGTGTATGCTAAAACTCTTACCAATTTTGTATACCAAATGAACATGGATGGTTGGATCAGTGATTTCTACTCAGTATTGTTAAAGCGTGCCTAGGCACAAGGTACAGCGAGCCGCAGAAGGACTCAAGGTGAGGCGAGTCTAGAAAAGCGCGTATTAGGGGGGCGCTTTAGAATACTTTTGTCTCTTGGCAATCGGAGGAAGCAGACGGTTGATTAAGAATACTTTTGTGTTGATTAAGAATACTGTTGTGTCTTGCTTGAAATATTTTTGATATAAGAACAAATATTCACTTGTAATTTACAATGTGCTCAAGCCCGCGCTTTGCTTTGTGCCTTGTGCTTATGGCCCATAAGACAGTAGCGATTCAATGAGCTTACACCTTAAATAACACTGGTCCTACTGCAAAAGTTGATAAAATCCACTAATCCAACAATCCATGTTATTGTCTTGTAGACTTTGCATTGTGCTCTCATTTTTTCCTTTGCTTCTTTTACTTCATTTGTTATTCTGTTGTTTATACTACTTGTAATGATTAGGGTTTGTAAATAAAGATATGGTTATGTTGGCTTGGGTGAGATGAGGAAAATAATTTGTTAATCCTTTCTCTCACCTTAACTCTTATATATAGATATTGTTACAAAGAAGAAAGACTAGTATACTCTCAAATGGTAGAATAAATACAAGGAGTATAATAATATTTTACTAACACTTGGCTTCAAGTTTGATCATGTCATATAATCCGGGGTTGGGGTAGATTACTGTCAGAGGATTACTATTCAAAGCTTTAGTAAAACACTGGGTTGACAGCTAGGTGAAGCATATCCTAATTGTCACAAACAATTGAATACGTATTGAATTCAGAAGTCAATTTAGTGAATATAAATGTCATAACAATGTTTACTCACTCAGTGTGTTTTATTCCCCTGAACTCAATTTCTGAACGGGATCGTGCTACCACAGATTGCTTTTTGCAGTTCTGTCAAAGAAAAGTACCCCACCTAAGAAAGTATAATATGAGCAGATAGCCATCGATCTAAGGGAGACCCAGTATAATTAGAATTGGTAAAACGTTTCACTTTGAGGTGTTCTTTGCGTAAACACAACAATTCAAGTCTAGTGGCTCGTTTGAGCTATCAAAGGATAAGAATGGCAGCATCACCAGACGGTACTCTATGTCCACCCATAAATTAATTGGCTGTAACACTTGATGCATATGCGGTATCTGGTTTAATAATGGTGAGATAGTGTTGCTTTCCAACCAATATGTTTTTCAAATAGTGCCCATTATCCACCATAAGTTTTTGATTCCGATTCTTGGAATATAAACTGGTCTGTCACCTAGTAAACCAGCCTCATGTAGTATATTAAGTATATAGACTGATACTTTTTTTAAACCTAGCAACTTTGACGCCCTGAAATATTTAACTTTGGCTAAGTCCTTGTAACACCCCGACCCGGCTTTATTCCGATAATATGAAATAAATACACCACATACTTGTTGTGAAAACCTGTCTTTGATCGTTATAGGCCATCCATGGCAAAACGACACTATTGACTTCTTATACAAAAGCTCAAATATAAAAGTATGGCGGTCCAACACTTACTAAATATAAATATAAAGGTTACACCAAAGCGAGCACACCGGCCCGGTACCATATGAAGTAAATACAAGTTAAGGTATATCCATAATATTTAAAAGTTAAATATATAGTCCAAAAAGTTGACCACACTCAGATTCAGTCATGACCCCTCCCGACTCGATTTCTAAATTCGACAGTGGATGTCAAGCTGGTGAACCAAAATTACCTGGACAAGTTTAAAGAAAACTCTAGTGAGTACTCAGTTGTATCACAACAAAAAAAAATAGTCAACAAATATTATAATGTATTAACCCAACCACAGAAATACACTAACAACAGCCTCGTAATTTGTCTCGAAAACTCAAAGGTCTCACAGTGAGACATCTTGTTTTGCGCAGGCAACATTCCCACAAAATTCAATCGATTTAAGGATGCAATCCAACGTCTAAACATTTTATTTCCTGTTACTAAATTCCATATTTCGAACAAGTTGTGACTGTCGATGATTTTCGTTCTCGTCACCTAAACGATTTGACAGTAAAACTTAGTTCATCACTTAGATATTTTAAATACTCGAGCTACTTCCGGTCACTTAGATCGTTCATCTCAATAATTAATTTTTGTCACTTCGACGATCTTATTGCGCGAATGTTTTTGTGTCACAAAGACTCATGTCTCGTCATTTAGACGGTTTTATGTCTCGTCATTCAGACGGTTTTATGTCTTGTCAATCATATGGTTTTAATCCCCAGACATCTCAATTACATAATCGAACCCCATCACCGACACACTCGTCACACGGACGAAGTGTCACCTAGCAACCAATGTTAGTCCCAAAACAGTCCGTGTTCTAATCTATATTCTTAATTTCTTTCTTTCCGTCATAGGGACGAATTCCAACTAAATAAATTACGAAGGCTCACTATATTCTTCCACACCCTAACTAAATTATCACCTTTTGCATTAAAAATCACAAACCAATTTGTAACATTATCAGTCTAATAACTTAATTACCAGAATATAAAAATATTGTAGGATAGTTCACCTACCTGGTGCAAAGCTCTACCGTGTGAACAATCCATCCGTTGGAGTCTTTTGTGCGGCGTTTCTCGCGATGTTCGTCTCTAGACTTGACACACTCGATGTCCACAATTTCATTCAAACACATAACATCAATTGAGTTCGAGATAATTTACTCGAACCAAGTTTACTATTTGCATCACATCGATTCACATAATTCATTTGCATCAAATAATATTCTCTACTCGAATCGATTTTTTCGAGTCGATAATATTCAAAAATATGTAAATTACCCAGTACATCGAGTAAAATTCTTTTAAATTAAATTAAGTTAACTTCTTCGAATTCATTATTGTACTACTTGTACGAACTCAAAACACCCAATTTTATATTTTCCACAATATTACCATTTTCCACCAAATATACTCGAATTTACGTACTTTCCTATAACATTATAAAGTATACATATTTCCTTACAATTTCATACACCCATGAATTTAGACCTTTCAAGAAATATTTCTACACCATTGTTAGATTATCCACTAAACCATTACCTCCCTTAATTTAAATTCTACTTCTATACAACAATCTTACTTTTTTGAATTTCTTTTTAACAACACTTTATGGTACATACCCACCTACACCTTATATCAATTTCCTTACAAAAAATCATGGTATTATACACACATAATCAAACATCATTTTAACACCTACATGCAACACCCTACTATATATATAAACAAAATTATCAATTTTCAAGTAATTCCCAACATGCATGCTTAACTAATTTTCATACCATTTTCTCAAAATATACTCGAATCTACATAATTCATTACCTTTTGCACCACCAACATCACCACAAGACTACCTTCAAACTCTTTTTCTCTCTTTCCTTTCTTCTTTTCTTGGTCTTCCTTGCCGTAACCAAATATGGCCTGCTTATGTCAAAAATGGCTAAATCTTGAAGAGTCCTTTTTTTTTCTCTTCCTTTTATATTTCCCTACACATGCTCAATGATGACACTCCCACTTCTTCTCTCTCCCAAACTGTCACTTTTCTCCCACCTCTTCCTAGTCACCCATTTTCTTTGAAACAAAGACTCCCATGTGCTTGCATACAATATATGTGTGTGTGTGTGTGTATGCCATCCATATATTTATATATATATATATATAGACATTGCACAATTTATTTATATATACATATATATCCTTGTGTACACACACACACACACACATATATATATTGGTAAGCTTTGACCCATCAATTGTGCACACTAATTTATTTATTTTTTAATACTCAAATTAATATCACATGCTCACCACCCCACTTAATCCCATGTGCACCACTAACATATATCAAGTAAATTAATTATGTCACATGCAATATACTCATTTAATTATCCCACACCCAAGCAATGTACTATTTTTAATTAGTAGGTACCTATCGAGCATAGTCATATCGCATGATCATGCTCGTAATAAATATTTACGTGGTCGTTATGCATACTCATACTCATAATAATTATTTATGTGGTCGTCATGTGTATTCGGGTTTTACACCTTAGTATAAATTGATGTTCTAGAAAAAAAATTTGCTCAGCATATTCACATAATCAACTCGAGTAAACAAAATACTATACACTTAAAAAACTAGTGCAATGTAACTTGCATTGGTCATTAATAGTGGAATAGAGAGCGATCTGTCTAACACTTAGAAAAGCCAAACTCTAAAATTGCTTTTGAAAATTTATCAAATCATGCTATGGGTGGTGACTGTTTTAGACATTACATGGACTTTTTTAATGGATACACATTATCATAGTACTCCCCTTGGAACGAACCCAAGTGATAGTTCCATGTAAATCTCCTCACACAAGTCATCGCAAAAAAAAAAAGCATTTTTAGCGTCCTATTGAAGCAAAAGACGAATCAAGGTTAGCAACAAAAGAAATCAACACGAACAGATGAATCTATTGACAAGGAAAAAAGTGTCATCATGAAGTCGGGCTATTTGATGTTCAATCAAACCATCGCGATGGAATTTACGACACACACGACAACCATTAGGCCTTTTACCATGGAGTAATAAAATGAAATCCCTAGTTTCATTAGGATGTAAGACATCTATTTCCACCTCCCTTGCTTTGATCAAATAACACTTTCACTAATGTCTGAGAACAAAGATGGTGGATAATTGAGATAAAAAAAACAAAAGAAAAAAAGAGATAGAGGATGATTAGAAACAAAATGACTAATTGTGTGGTTAGAAACATAAGATTGGGTGCTTTTGCAAAAAGTACAAGGTAATGAGTATGCTATTTACAGGTTATGGAGCACATATTTCAATACTTGCGAATATGTATTGGATGCTTTATGCATATATTGAATAATTAATAAAATATTTATTATTGTTGGATACTTGTCAGATACATTTCGGATACACGTATCTCCACAGTGGATACATTCACCTTATACTTAATGAGGTGGGTTATATAGAAACCATANATACTTGTTAGATACATTTCGGATACACGTATCTCCACAGTGGATACATTCACCTTATACTTAATGAGGTGGGTTATACAGAAACCATTAATCATCCTAAGGGGAATTTCTTGTTCAAAGATGTTCATTTGGACCTTCATCACATGTCACCGGTTTTGTCAATTTTTTACAATTTGCTTGGCTTAAATAATGAGTTTTCATGGCTTATGTTTAAGCCAATGAAGTCTATTGCAATTAAAAGGGTGACATATGTTTAGCTTTAGAATTATATATAACATAGGATTGAAAATACCATTAAGCAGTCTCTATGTCAGCATCATAAATTGTTTTAGCTTATATATATACACGTATCCTAGCCGTGGCTATATCCTCTTTTTTAAGATTTTGTCGTATCGTTGTATTCGTATCCCGTTCAGTATCCGTGCTTCCTAGTTTATAGGTTACCTACACAAGAAGACAAGAAGGAAGATGAAGGGATACCTCACCATATGGATTTGAATTTGAATGGCAAGATGTATCCTAGTCGTGGCTATATCTTATTTTTTAAAATTTTGTCATATCGTTGTATTCGTATCTCGTTCTTTATTCGTGCTTCTTAGTTTATAGGGTACCCACACAAGAAGACAAGAAAGAAGATGAAGGGATACCTCACCAAATGGATTTGAATTTGAATGACAAGAGTGCCGCGAAACTGAAAAGTGGAAGATGGTAGGAGAAAGGCCAGATGCAAGAAGCATGGATACTTCAATTTGGTTGAAGTGTCGAATACGTGAGGATGCATACGCATTTTATATATCGAACATATATTTTCAGTCTTGGATACGACATTGATGTAACTTAGACGCAGGAATAGATATGGTGGGGCTAAAAAATAAAAATCGAAGTAACAAAGAACACAAATCTGATGTTGAACCGAAACTAGGTCACACATCAGTCGATTATAGAAGGCTCACTAGCCTGGAACTTCCATTTTGAATTGAAAAAGCACATCATTTAAACGATGTTGATATGTTATGATATCNACCGGTTTTGTCAATTTTTTACAATTTGCTTGGCTTAAATAATGAGTTTTCATGGCTTATGTTTAAGCCAATGAAGTCTATTGCAATTAAAAGGGTGACATATGTTTAGCTTTAGAATTATATATAACATAGGATTGAAAATACCATTAAGCAGTCTCTATGTCAGCATCATAAATTGTTTTAGCTTATATATATACACGTATCCTAGCCGTGGCTATATCCTCTTTTTTAAGATTTTGTCGTATCGTTGTATTCGTATCCCGTTCAGTATCCGTGCTTCCTAGTTTATAGGTTACCTACACAAGAAGACAAGAAGGAAGATGAAGGGATACCTCACCATATGGATTTGAATTTGAATGGCAAGATGTATCCTAGTCGTGGCTATATCTTATTTTTTAAAATTTTGTCATATCGTTGTATTCGTATCTCGTTCTTTATTCGTGCTTCTTAGTTTATAGGGTACCCGCACAAGAAGACAAGAAAGAAGATGAAGGGATACCTCACCAAATGGATTTGAATTTGAATGACAAGAGTGCCGCGAAACTGAAAAGTGGAAGATGGTAGGAGAAAGGCCAGATGCAAGAAGCATGGATACTTCAATTTGGTTGAAGTGTCGAATACGTGAGGATGCATACGCATTTTATATATCGAACATATATTTTCAGTCTTGGATACGACATTGATGTAACTTAGACGCAGGAATAGATATGGTGGGGCTAAAAAATAAAAATCGAAGTAACAAAGAACACAAATCTGATGTTGAACCGAAACTAGGTCACACATCAGTCGATTATAGAAGGCTCACTAGCCTGGAACTTCCATTTTGAATTGAAAAAGCACATCATTTAAACGATGTTGATATGTTATGATATCATGTTAAACAATCATCTACTCTAAAAACTTAAGTTGTTAGAGAGGGTTTAATTATTAGGGTAGCAGTGAGATTCAAACACAGGACCTTCTGCTATGATAGCATGTTAAATAACCATCTATTTTAAAAGTTTAAGTTGTCAGAGGGTGTGTAATTTAAATATTTATACTTTTACACAAACATCTTCGTGCAATTGTGCTCCATAAAATATGCATTCATTCATTATGATCAGCATGTTTTATTCAAAGAAAAACCAAAACCTGAAGCTTACTTCTCGTTATAAACAAACGCTTGAGGGACAATATTAAATGCACAATGTTTTTTTTCTCTAAAATTTTATTTGTGAAAAAATTGTGGGCCTGTTTGGTTTTCAAAAACAGTTTTTTGTTATCAAAACTTTAAAAACAATGAAGATGCTTGTTTAGCTTTTTTGTTTTTCAATTTTTTGAAAATTTTGAAAAATGAGATGTGATTTTAGAGAGCAACAAAATGATGTTTTCTGAGTTTTTAGGCTAAAATAGAAAATAAGGAAAACCAATCCTCCTCTTTAATGAGGTTCATCCATCAAACTTCATTAGCAACAAAATGCATTTTTTTTCGTTGAAGTATAATAGCCCTTCACTTGGGCCCTGTTTTCTCCATCTCCTCCTCTTTAATGAAGACGAAGATTGTGGCTGNATTTTTTTTGTTGAAGTATAATAGCCCTTCACTTGGGGCCTGTTTTCTCCATCTCCTCCTCTTTAATGAATATGAAGATTGTGGCTATCTTTTTTCTGCGTCTGGGTTCAAGACACACACACAGATCTCCGGCGTCTCCCCCCGTTTTCTGTTTGTGTGCTCAAATCTGTGTGTATGGGTCTGTGTCTATATGTGTTTATGTTTGTGTGCGTGTGTGTAGGTTTTGTGAACATAGAGAGAGAGGAAAGAAAGATAAAGGTGGGGTTTTGTAGATTATTGCCCAAACAGATTTTACAATTTTTTATTCTTTAAAATTATTTTCAAAAATGTATAACCAAACAGATTTTGCAATCTAAAAATTTTCAAAAACACTTTCTTAAAATTCTTCTCAAAAATTAATTTCAGATACTGTTTTTTAAGATGCAAACCAAACAGACCCTGTATATCGTACTAGATCTGTAACCCTATAGCATCATTAATTGAGCTAATGGCAAATGCTTTAGTACTCGTACCTTCATTATGGATTAACTAGCACAAGTAGCAGCTTCAATGGCTTATTTCCTGTACCTCTTTTAGTGGGGGCGGCAAAGCACCAGTGGTAGCATCAATACCGTCATAGCCTTTTTTTACAAGAAAGAAAGGACATGTATTTAACTAGTAGATATGGTTGAGTCAGTTGTTGATCCAAAAGAGATGGAAATGGTAGTTAATTGCCAGTTTTCTTTTTTCTTTTCTATTATTGTGCTACTTTAGTGCTTGTTAATATTTATGAAATGCTATTGTGCAGACAGAAACCATTGACTTGGCTGAACAAAGTGGTAAGCTAGATCGTTCTCAGAGAATCTTTAGGAGAAGCAATCTTGACAAGTCATCGCATTCTGTGATTGATTTAGATGGGCTCCCATATGTCGGGCAGGTTAGCCTTAAGTTTTGGACTGTCTCTCTGTTTCTTGAAAATCTAAATTTTAGCAATGTTGATTAATTTTCTGACTACCAACTTTCAGAGGATAAATCCAAATGAGCCATATTGTAGCATCTACGATGAAGTAACAAGTACAGCTACAACTACCAAGTTAAAGGGTTCAGAACCTGTTATTGTTGATTATGTTGCTGTAGATGTGAAAAACAAAAAGAATCTACAAAAAGTGAGTTTTTCATTCTCTCTCTCACACGCATATTATCTCTAACATTATAATTACCTAGATAAATATTTTTAAGTTATCCATGTTCACTCTTGTATCACAAAATTATGTTATCAAAATACATGTAGTGTTATTTGCATGTGTTGCTATGTTTATTTAAAGAAGTTCCTGTTTTAGATAGATATCAAATGTTTCCCATTGAGGTTTGATGGTCTCAAATGATTTATCCCTGCAATTTGATGGGCTAATTTTTACTATTGCTATCTGTAATGTTGATATTCAGTTTTAGGGTTAAATTACAAAATATCTCCTCCAAGCTTGGGTTAAGTTGCAATCAACTCCCTTAGGTTTGAATTTCGACAATTAAGCCCCTTAAAGTTTATTTGGATTTCAATTAATTGAGAGAGGGGATGGAAATCACAAAATTCAAAGTACCTCAACATTTAAGTCTATTTCTCTCTCTTTGTACCCAACCCCTTTCCCCATGATCTTTGATGCTTCTAATCCCATTCCCGTACTTCGACGGCAACCCCAACCCCTACTCTGGCGGTGCCCCCAAACCCCCACCCCCTCTTCTCCAATGCTAATAGTACCCCAAAACCCACCTCCGGCAGCTTCGACCATACAATCTCTCAAACCCCACCCCCACCCCCACCTCCGACTGTCTCACATGCCCCATTATTAAACAAGCAAGCTCAACACTACGATAAACGTGGTTTGGGCGCGGCTATCTCCGTTTTTCCTATTTCCTTCATCTCTATCCAATCAACCATGGCACAGCTATCAAGTCCGAAAACTCAATCGCGATGCAACCATTGGCTCTATACAGACTAATTCTCTCCCTCCAGCTGGGGGTTGCCCAATGGAGGTAAATTTATTTTGGGAGTGGGTTTCATCGAAGGAGGGAGTTGTGTTTCACCGGTGGAAGGAAGGGATAGGGTTCACCAAAAGAGGGGAGGGAGTTCAGTTGTTTGGGGTGGGGGTGGGGTTGGGTTTCACCGGAAGAGGGATGGAGTTGGGGTTTCGCCGGTGGAAGTTAGGGTTGGGTTTGAGCAGGGATTTTTGTGTGGCCAAGTTGCCTTGGAATTAGAATATTTTTTTAAAGTTTTCCTTTTAAATTTCTATCATTTTTAATATAGGAATTAATTAAAAAATATTCCAACATTAAGAGGGCAAATTATCTAAATAAAAACCTGATGGAGTTGATTGTAACATAACATAAACTTGAAGTGGACATTTTGTAATTAACTCTCAGTTTTATGCTTAAACATGATACATGAAAATTTATAGCATTTTTGTATTAAGCTATTATTGTGAATCTTTCCCAAATTTTCAAACAGATTGTGCTAAGGATGCCACATAATTTCCACATATAGTCGAGAAGAATGCGTGCATGACTTTTTTATTGGTCTTAACATTGAGTATAATTAGATTCGGGTACAGATTTTTGGTCGTAGTTCATTTCCAACATTGCTAGAGGCCTATTCTCATATTTAGTAGGATGTGAGTGGGAGGATTGCTTTTGTTCATGCCCTCCAGGAACAGTCGGCATTGACTGAAATGCCTCAATTTGACTTGAGCTTATTCCAATCCAAGTCCACTTAGTCAAGTGATATTGCCAAGGAGATCGCAAAGTGTAATTATCGTGGAATGGCTAGGCATACTAGGGAGTTTTGTTGTAAGTTGACTTGATGTCGTGGACACAGTGGTGGTCGAAATGGAGGCCGAGGTTGTAATGTGCAATCCCATGCACACTACTAAATGTTCAGAGATAAGTGGAAGAGTAAGCCAACTAATTTGAGAAGTTTTGCACTATACCACTTTTTGGCATTGCCTTATCTCGCTGAGGCAAATTTTTTACTAGAAAAGCGATTGATTACTCGAGTTGGTTCTTGTGCCGCCGATGCTTAAAAGGATGGGCTAGTGCAATTTGGGTGTTCATTCATAAGGTGGATCTATGTGCTTCAGGGTGGTGTGACGAGGTGTAGCGCAATTTGTTTAGCACATTTGTTGTGGATACGAAGGGTCATAGGTTCGAATCCCATCACCTTGATGTGACAATGGAGTCGGCAAATACTAAAATACGGTCATCCATCAACCAATACCACCTCCTCTTAGGTTACTTATTTTTAGTTATGAACACACCAGGCCAAAACATGGATCGAGTATGCGACCCATCAACTTACTAGCAATGGGAGAGAAAATGTAGCATGTTGCAACAAAAGTTTGATTTGAGGTGTCAGCAAAACACTATCGTCTCTTCCAAAAACAAAAGCCACTTAGCACCTAGGACGGGAGTGGGGGATGGCCTATTCGCAAGCAACAACAAAACCAGCCCTATGAAGTCATAATAGAATCTCCACCTGCTTCTTATTATGAGTGGCGTGGTGGCATGGTTCAAAGTCGTAGCATCGTCCATCGACTTTGAAGGCACTGATACACATCGGTTGCGACATGGTATCGGCTGGTACACTCAAAACGCTAATTAGAATCTCCAAAAAAATCATAAAAAATTTCAGAAACTTTAAACATCGCGCATCATATGTCCACAATACATCTAAAAATACGTCAAACATAATTAAAATGAAACATAAGGGCGCTACCAAAAATAATTATCATTGTAAGTGTTCATATTCAACATTTAAGAACATATTGAGCCATAATTATTGCCATATTGAATGACGATGAGGCTCAAAATCATTATTATTGCCTCTAGGATAATACATATTAGGATAATGTCCACTATAAGGATAAGAATACAAGTGTGAATACTGGTTTGATTGAGATGATTGGCTAAATGATTCATAATTAGACTAGTATGACTGTGGAGGTTGTATTGGTTGGTTCCCATGTTGATAGTATCCAAAACCACGATATTCATAGTCATTACCAGTAGAAGATTGATCATATCCATAAAAGTTGATACTATATTTGATTTATAATTTTTTTGATTATTAAAATACTATACTTCAAATATTTATTCAATAAATAAGTAATCTGAATATAAATCTAATGTAGTTGTAACATTTAGTTTTAATAATCTGAAATTGAAAATATTGATATATCTAATTATTAAATTAGATTTAAAAACTATTGATGTTTTTGTTTTTAAAAAAATACTGATGGCCCACAAATAAAATAAACTAACAAAATAGAATTGACATTTTTGTGTAGTTGCAGTCTTGTGGTGGTTGATGTCTCAGCTGAGTAGTAGCAGTGTCCTTAACATAACACTCAAGAAAAATATTGAAAGCTGACCACATTAAACAATTGGCATCTCTCCATGATTTAATAATGCTTGGTCTTCATTCCATATGTTTCTTACACCCAACATCATATGGCAATTTGCACTCTTTAATATATATTTCTTCTTTTAAACAGGCAAACATATGTTTTCGACGTCCTAGGAATCCTATAATTGGTGATAAATTTAGTAGTAGGCATGGGCAGAAAGGTGTTTGCTCTCAACTGTGGCCAGATATTGACATGCCGTTTTCAGGAGTTACAGGAATGCGTCCAGATCTTATTATCAATCCTCATGCATTTCCTTCGAGGATGACAATTGCAATGCTTTTGGAGTCCATTGCTGCTAAGGTACTACTAGTAAGCATAGTCATATTTGTTGCTTTACCGTCTGCCATGTAGTGAAATTACTTGCCTAGAAAATAGTACCAACCTTGTGTTTATGATTATCCATTAATTGGGTGTGGAATTATAGAAGTAGAATTGTTCAATTGCTGAGTGTGTGTGTGTTTATGAGTGTGAGAAGGGGGATGCTAATGTCCCCTACTACAGGGTGACACTAGCAAGCTCCCATATTTTACTGAACCAAAATGTACTCCACTGCTCGACTATCTAGACACAATATAGGAATGTTTTTGTCTTAAATGGAGTTGGTCATCTCCTCATCCTCCCCTCTCGTCTTCTGGATCTGATCTCCAATACAACGAAGAACATCTTGCTTATCAACATAGCCTTGCGTTACGTACAGGAATAAATCTTAGAGAAAAGTAATGATAAAAAGGGACAGTTCATTTGGATGGCAGTGCTAGAGGCATCTCTGCATCACTCCGTCTCTTTTCCTTCCTCCACTAACTTCACAGAGTGGTTTTCCAATTGTATTTGGCATTTTCTTCTTCTCTTTTAGCCCAAGTTTTCACATCTTTCAAGCAAACAAAGCTGCAAAAGCCAAAATATGTGTCGACACTTGACACACCTTGTATCAGGAGGACATGTTTGGCACATAATGTTAATAATTCTGAAAGTCAAGTGTACAGTTTCTTAGCATGCATATTTATCCTTCTTTTTTTTCAAGTTTTTGTTGTGCTTGTTTTCCTTTTCTAGCCCTGGTTGTGTATTTGNTAGCTTAGAAGTATTCATGTCAGCTCACTTGGTCACTAAGAATGTTTGTGTTCAACCCAGTTTTGCAACAAGGTCCTAAAATACCTTTGTGATTTGGTTTCCTTTTTCCTCGAACTTCAAGCTTGGATTGGCTGGCTTGTTGGAAAACCAAAACCAAAACACTAACACGCCATGATTGAATCCAAATATATAACTACTTGNATGTTTTTACTGTAAGTATCTGTGTCCTGTATGCTACTTGTAACTGCATATGTTACTTGGTGAAAGTATGCTAATTTTTGTAACTATCTCTGTCCTGTATTTGTTGTAGGGTAATATATTAGCAAAAGTGTTAACATTTCAATAAGAGAATAAGCTTAAGACAAGTCGATAAAGGTTTGAAATTCAACCCTATTCTTGTATAAGAGGAAAAGCTTAACCACTATTAGATGCGCTGTGTTACCGGGGTAAGCCATGTTAGACCGTCAACTACTTAGATTGTTCATGTCAGTGTGTCCATGACATGGGTCTAAATGTGATCCCTGTCACAGTCCCTGGGACAGAGGGGCACCAGAGCATGTCTGATTTCATGATTTTCAAGTCTTCCATTGAAGCACACTGAACATATATTTCTTGAATATGGAAGACCTTTGCTGGCATTCATGCCTCTTTATTTTTCATTTTCCCCTGTTCCAGCAAATTGCAGTGTGTGTTTTCAATTTGAAGTTCAATTTTTTTTCTATGGAGCTCAATTTGGAAAGATATTTTCTAGGGTAATGTAGAATACTCCTGGAGTCAATGAGTCGCGAGTTCCTAAGTTTGAACTCCTTGTCTCCACAAAATTAGTTGAGTTCATCTGCCAAGATTTTCATATAATTTAACTTGATAGTGAAGACATGACTTGAGTTTTGGAGAATTATTGAAGCTTTTGAAGTTTTATCTGGGCTGATTTTTGAAAATTCTTCTACCTCTTTTTCTTTTTCAATTCTTTTTACACCTTTAATGTAGATTCAAACCTTGTTGACTGCCCATGTTAAATTCTAAAATTGCTTCATCAATATTCTTACCTTGGAACCAAAAAATTTCAAAAAAAATCGAAGTTCAGTATTCTCAGCTTTTCTGTTCACTGCCCCAAAACACTATTTTTGCCACAAACTATTACTCTGCCCCAGCAAGCCATTTGTAACCCTTTGACCATCAAATTCTCATCTAGATCCTGAAATTGTTGCCATACACAAAAATTCCTGCACACTTGACCAGTCACTTTGAAGAGTAAGCCAAATTCAACCCCTTCCCTTCCATAAAACCTGTTATCCTTCTTTTATATACTAAAAATGTAAAACTGAAAGCTTTTCACGACCAACTTCCAGCACAAAAATTTTTATAGGGTTGTGTTTCCTAAAGCTGCCATGCATGTGTGTGTGTGTGTGTGTGTGATGCAACGGTGTGGAGAAAGCAAGCAGAACAGTAGATGGATAAGAAAATTAAATTAAATCACCCAAAACTTTAAAGTAGCTGTAGCAACAAAGAAGCAAGAATTCATTACTGCTATTAATCTTTTTATAATGTCTACTATGATCCCCAAAGTAAACTTTAACCATAAGAGATCCTCTCAACAGGAAATAAATCAGACATAATGACTTCTCAAACCCAATAAAATAAGCACAAACTAACTGCTCGTTCCATTCCATCCCTGCACTCCCCTTTTCCTGCTACACTGATACATTCTCAAGGGCTTCAGGGCGGCATAACGTCCCCCTATTGCAAATAGCTCTCCGATGAGTTGGATTGCATGTGCCACATGTAGAGAATGCGGTCAATCCGTTGTAGTTCAGCAAGTGTGGTCCATGTGCTGGCTATTGTTGGTTTGCCTTTACACTTAACAAGAACCTTCCATGTGGGACCCTCTTCAGTGTGGATAGGTCTGCAAATGAACCAAGTTGAGCCTAGCTTAGAAGTATTCATGTCAGCTCACTTGGTCACTAAGAATGTTTGTGTTCAACCCAGTTTTGCAACAAGGTCCTAAAATACCTTTGTGATTTGGTTTCCTTTTTCCTCGAACTTCAAGCTTGGATTGGCTGGCTTGTTGGAAAACCAAAACCAAAACACTAACACGCCATGATTGAATCCAAATATATAACTACTTAATTTGGGCAGCCTATTCTGCAGTAAGGCTAAATCATCCAAATATTGATACATTTAAGCAAACACCTCTACATTAGGAGAAACCCTAACCAACTACAAAACCTTCCTGAATAAAACACAAGCCCTTGTGTGTGTGTGTGTGTGTTTTGGAGGGGGGGGGTGTGGGGTGGGGGAGAGAGAGAGAGATCTTACATACAAAATCACCTCAGAGATTTGGACAAGCCCTAAGATGATTGCTAGTGAGTCGGAAATGCAAAGATCGGAGAGGAAAGAGTCGATGATGATTGAACCAAGGAGAAGCAAAACCAAATGCTTTAGTCAAATATACCCTTTTTTTCCCTTAGAGTGTGATCCTAGAGTCATTTTTTGTGGAAAAAGATTAACTAGCCTTTTTTTCATTAGATACACAAACCTGGCATCATAGTAGTATTACGTTAAACACATAGCCTTAACAAACTAGGAAAACCAGACATGGTGTTACTTGCGGACACGGTGTTACTCGTACATAAGTTACAAACATTTGTCCATACATAAATGCAAGGTATAACAAAATTTCAACAAACGACAAATAAAAATGAGCCAACTAATTTTTTTTTTTAAAATTGTCAAAATGTCTTCTAAAAACATGTCATTTGACCATCATCAACCCTACATGCATAACATATATAATCAAATATTTATGTAACAAAAGTCATGCTATAACTACTAAAACATAATAATTCAAAAATCTAAAAGAATATGTCAGTTGACAATGTTCAATGAACTATTTGTTGATTCAATATTCACGATTTCAACATCCATAATCAACTTTATCTAAAATTAAAAAAAAAATGTCCACCAACACTGCTACTAACAAAATAACAATAGAATTTATAACTAATGGAATGAAAATTGCAACAATACTCTCACAAATAAAGTAAGTGTCTAGATACAATCAAATGATCAAATTTTACTATCAAAAATTCTACCAACTTCCAAAAGAATGTATACGACCTGAAAAAAAAATTATATTTAGATGTTTTCTCATTCTCTAAAAACATACATTTTTTCTTTTATCTACATTCAAATAAAAATATAGAGAAAATATTTTTACCTGAAAAGTATATGTTCATCTGTTTGGATGTTCACTGTTTCTCAATTGATCCTCGACTTCTTATAATGCTCGTGAATAGATTAGGTCATTTTCGATATCCGCTAATGTCTCCTTCAATTTTATCATATCTATAAAGTCATTCTCGAACTTCTTAAGTATTATGTCAATTGGTCATGTAGGTGGAAGCATATTAACAACAACATATATCATTATTGGATTATTCGGACTAAATTCTTCTTCTTGCAATTTGTAATATAATGTTTCTTTCTTTATTATATGGTTTCTAACGTTCGATCCTGGATCCAGTTTCTCCTGCTCAAATTGTATCCATAATGGATGGATATCGCGTTCTGCTTCCGCTAATAATTGTACAAAACGTACTGTATTGGTTATTTCGAATTTTTTTTCCTTTGCAGAATTCCAAAATGTGGGAAGAGTCTTTGTTATTTTATACACAATATAATGATCACTTATATTTTTCTCTGTCATCTGTGGCATACGACCGAATTCAATTTTTTCCAACCCAACCTTTGAGATTGGGGTTCCATTTTCAGGGGAATCATTTTCAAATTTATGTAGTATATTTGATAACGTCATACGCGTACTACGACTCACATAGATAGGTGGTCATTCTATGTTATATGTACGGAGTATAAAAGATATAAATTAAAGTTGTAATAATCACATTAGCAACAAATTAACAAACATTACAACAAACAAAACAATATTATCCTCACCTATGTTGTCGTATAAGAATAATAACATACCAACAGAAATATTAAAATGATGATTAGTACTGCGAAGATGCCTTAAAATCAAGATGCTAGCAAACATACCAAATTATTTATGCAATTCGTAGAATATAGACACTAAATAATTATTCAATTCACCATCACATCTTTGTTAAAACTACACATAATTATTTGTCATCACCACAGACATAATAATAGTAATCACAAACATACAAATAATTAAATATCAAGTTTAATATTAAATATTTCAGAATCAAACATATGATTTAACTTCACGGAATACTAGATTTGTATGTAGTATTAAAAAATGTAGTTAATGGATCATTTTAGTATGTCATTGAACTTTCTCTTCATCACTTTCCTAAATGTTCTTGTGTCAATACATATGCTAAACCACAAGTTGGGAGAATGCACAACATTATATTTTTACATAAAGAAAAACAAATTTTAGAGGAAGATATTACTTATAAAAAAATATAATTCGCTACAACAGTATAAGGATCGGATTACCTTATTACGATATTCCCATCGGTGAAGTCACGTTATATTTATTCTTTTCATCTCTTTAGTCAGATGTCAATTCACACCAATCCTACAAATATTGAATTATATCGTAAACTTAACGCTTTTATTTTAATTACATGTGTATTCAATAGGAGCAAATTATGCATAAAATAAAATAAAAGCGTTAATTTTACGTTATAATTCAATATTTGTTGGATTAGTGTGAATTGACTAAAGAGATGAAAAGAATAAATACAACGCGATTTCATCGATGGAATTATAGTAATAAGGTAACCCAATCCGTACACTGTTGTAACGAATTGTACTTTTTTATAAGTAATATATTCCACTAAGATTTGTTGTAGAATTAGGTTGTTGTGCATTCTCCTAACTTGCGATTTCGCATATGTATTGACACAAGAACATTAGAATAGTTCAATGACATATTGGAAGAATGATTCATTGACTACATTTTTTAATACTACATATAAATGTAGTATTCCGTGAAATTAAATCATATGTTTGATTCTGGAATATTTAACACTAAACCTGATACTTAATTATTTGTATGTTTGTGATTACTACTATTATGTCAGTTGTGATGGTAAATAATTGTGCGTAGTCTTGACTATGATATGATGGTGATTTGAATAATTATTTAGTGTCTATATTCTACAAATTGCATAAATACTTCAGCATGTTTGTCAGCGTCTTGATTTTATNTTTAACTTCACGGAATACTAGATTTGTATGTAGTATTAAAAAATGTAGTTAATGGATCATTTTAGTATGTCATTGAACTTTCTCTTCATCACTTTCCTAAATGTTCTTGTGTCAATACATATGCTAAACCACAAGTTGGGAGAATGCACAACATTATATTTTTACAGAAAGAAAAACAAATTTTAGAGGAATATATTACTTATAAAAAAATACAATTCGCTACAACAGTATAAGGATCGGATTACCTTATTATGATATTCCCATCGGTGAAGTCACGTTATATTTATTTTTTTCATCTCTTTAGTCAATTCACACCAATTCTACAAATATTGAATTATAACGTAAACTTAACGCTTTTATTTTAATTAAATGTGTTTTCAATAGGAGCAAATTATGCATAAAATAAAATAAAAGCGTTAATTTTACGTTATAATTTAATATTTGTTGGATTAGTGTGAATTGGCTAAAGAGATGAAAAGAATAAATACAACGCGATTTCATCGATGGAATTATAGTAATAAGGTAACCCAATCCGTACACTGTTGTAACGAATTGTACTTTTTTATAAGTAATATATTCCACTAAGATTTGTTGTAGAATTAGGTTGTTGTGCATTCTCCTAACTTGCGATTTCGCATATGTATTGACACAAGAACATTAGAAAAGTTCAATGACATATTGGAAGAATGATTCATTGACTATATTTTTTAATACTACATATAAATGTAGTATTCCGTGAAATTAAATCATATGTTTGATTCTGGAATATTTAACACTAAACCTGATACTTAATTATTTGTATGTTTGTGATTACTACTATTATGTCAGTTGTGATGGTAAATAATTGTGCGTAGTCTTGACTATGATATGATGGTGATTTGAATAATTATTTAGTGTCTATATTCTACAAATTGCATAAATACTTCAGCATGTTTGTCAGCGTCTTGATTTTATGGCATCTTCGCAGTACTAATCATTATTTTAATTTTTCTGTTGATGTGTTATTATTCTTATTTGATCACATGGGTGAGGATAATATTATTTTGTTTGGTGTAATATTTGTTAATCTGTTGCTAATGTGATTATTACAACTTTAATTTATATCTTTTATATTGTGTATAGACAACATAGAACGACCTCGTATCTATGTACACGTGTTGCGCTATCAAATATACTTAGATAAATTTGAAGATGTAACCCCAATCTCAAAGTTTGGGTTAGAAAAATTAAATAGGTCAAATGGTTGGGAAAAATATACGTCATTATTATATTATGCATAAAATAACAGACTCTTCCCACAACTTATAATTTTGCAAAGGGAAAAAAATTTGAGATGACCAACCAACCAACACAGTACGGTTTGTACAATTATTAGCGAAACGTGATATCCATCTATTATGGATACAATTTGAGTAGGAGAAAATGGAACAAGGATCAAACGTCAAAGATTATATAATAAAGAAAAAATCATTATATTACAAACTGCAAGAAGGATTTAGTCCGAATAATGTTATTGTTAACACTCTTTCACCTATATAGCCAATTGACATAATTCATAAGAAGTTCAAGAATGGCTTTATAGATATGATAAAATTGGACTAGACATTAGCGTATATCAAAAATGACCTAATTTGTTCACGAGCATAAGAAGCGAAGACTCAACTCAACTAAGATACAATGAATATTCGAACAGATACTTTTCAAGTAAAAATATTTTTATTATTTAAATTTGGATAAAGGAAAAAATGTTTGTTTTTAAAGAATCAAAAAACATCTACCTATAAAAAAAAAAATTCAAGTCGTATACATTCTTTTGGAGGTCGGTGAAATTCTAATAATAAAATTTGGTCATTTGACAGCATCTAGATATTTACTTTGTCTGTGAGAGTATTGTTGCAATTTTCATTCCAGTAGGTTGTGAATTCTATTATTATTTTGTTAGTAGTAATGTTTGTGGACTTTTTTTTTTTTGAATTTTAGATAAAGTTTATTATGGATGTTGAACATTGACAACTGACGTATTGTAGTTATTATGTTTCAGTAGTTATAACATTACTTTCGTTTCATAAAGATTTAATTATATATGCTATGCATGCATGCTGGTTGATGTTGGTCAAATGACATGTTTTTAGAAGATATTTTGTCAAAATTTTTAAAAAAATTTGTGTTATACCTTGCATTTATGTATGGGCAAATGCTTATAACTTATTTACGAGTAACACCGTGCCTTTAGGCAATTACTAGTGAACAAACATGAGCTACTCTTGAGGCGAGCTGCACACAGGTTATTATGTGGTTCACTTGCAGTCGTAATGATGGATTACAAAGTGTCATCTTCTTCGGTAGGTATGGTTGGAAGTTCATCCTATTGTTATAGAATTGCTTGTTGAAACTCCTCCATAATGACCCAGGTAGTCATGATTAACAGAAACGATAAAATATAGGGCTGATTTTAGCATACCGGAAGTTCCGGCATATAGGCATATGAGTCAAATTCCATTTTTGAAGATCCACTATGACAAGAGCACGAGGCCCAAAATTTTTAGCATTAAGTTCATGATAAATGGCCTGTCACCAAGATATGATGCAACAATGGAACAAAGAATAAAGAGCAAGTAAAACAAGAGGCAGATGAGAAAAGTTAATTGAATCACCCACCCAAAATTTCAAGTAGTAGTAGCCAAAAAAGAAGGGAAAGGATAAAGGAACTTCTCTCTTTTCATCAAGTCTCCAGACAAAGATGTAAAACTCTCCCAAAACATTAAATTAGCATTGTAGCTAATTATATCCCATGAGTGATCCAGCTGTGTTTTCCAAAATAGCCTTCCTAATAGTGAAAATAACTCTTAAAAAGATATATATCAAAAAATTGATCTTTTGAACCTTTAGTGACTCCTAAACAACAAAAATGCTTTAAACGGGCAAATTACGGTGGCATGCCTGATATTGCAAATATAACATGGCGATAGCTTCACAAATAACATGTGAACACCTGAATGGGGTAATCCGTTCCCTCTCTAGCCGTCTTGACATCTACCTATGTTGTATGGTTAGGGGTGAACCGCAACATGTGCTCGCTACTTTTTGTTCGAGCAACTCAAACTCCTATTGATGGTATTGATTCCACCGCGACTACTGCTTCATCTTCCTCTCATTCCCCCGCTCCAGCCATGCTGGCTGCTGCTATCTCAGCTCAGTCAACTAATTCTAGACCAATAGATGGTTCTGAAACCCGACCAAGTGGTTGCGGGGAGAATCCCTAAAATACCAAGATTGTTCCTTATTTCTATTAGGACCCAGATCAGATAGAGCGAGACCAAAAGCATAAAAGCGACAAAATTAAAAAAAAAATTGAGAGCGGAAGTATCTTGAGAGCGTCATATTACATACATACAAACACATATTCACCTATGAAAGTTAATAAAGATAAAATATAAAAAAATAAATTTCATGCATAACTATATGGCAAACTATTTAATTTTTAAATATATGTTGATTATAAGCTCCAAAAATGGCAGTTATAGTTTACAAATATCATTCTATTTTTATATGTATCTTTAGGCATGAAAATTTTGATTAATAATGAGTAAGCATATAAGTAAAAGCATGATTTAGTCAAATTCATAAATTGAAAATTGGATCCACGAATTTTGTAAAATAAGAGTACAACCACTTAGAATTTGCTCACAAAGCGCAAATTCGCATGCAGAGCGCCAAAGCATCGGCTATTTACACGAATTATGTGAGTAAGATTAAAACCTGCTTAATGATGTATCCTAACTTATACCCTATTGGGACAATTTTATTTCTCATTGGAATGAAAGACACCTGTATCCAAACACTCCCTCCTCACACAGCCACACCCTATTGACCCCCTCTATCACCGGCTCAAAACCCACACCTACTGCCCTTTTTTAACACTGCCTTTGGTCTGCCACCCGCCTTCCTTTCCAAACTCACCCCACAACCTAGTTGGACCCCACTCGAACCCCCAACCATTGCCCAAACAACCCCTTGGTGATCCACCACCTCTAATTTCTTCATCTTGAATTATAATTGAAACGGTATTCTTTCTTGCCTCTCTCCTTTATCGTCTCTGTGTCTCTCCTCTCTCGATCCATGTCCTACCATCTGGGCTGAGATCAAGTGTACTTATGGCAGCGAAGCTGGTGGTGAATTTGGGCTTAGTTCTATTGAATTTTGGCTTAATTTGTGATTGAATTTGTTTTATTATGGGTTTTATTCGTGGTCCCAAAGTTAATTTTGCAGTTTATTTCATGAAAAAGATCTGCATTTCTGATCACCTGTCATATGTTCGATGAAGGTCTAATGACCCTAGGTTGCATCAATTGGCCAGTGCGTGTTTTCAAAGAAAGCCTTGGTCATCTTATCTAGTTGATGGTTGTTTGTCATACCCATTTTATATACCTCTTACTACTCATGGAGAATAATAAAAGAAGAGAGTATAGACCAGGGAAGAGAAGGGAAAAGAAAATATAAGAAAGTAGAGAAACGTGGAGAGACAGGAGCATTATACTTCTATAAGTAGTTGTACTTATTGCTGAAAATGGTGTACTTTGAATACCTCTAAATTATCTTGCCTTTGAAGTTGGTATCTTGAGAGAGAGGGAGAGAGGGAGAATTCTCCTGTTCCTTAATTTTTAGATACTTTGATGTAGAACCTAATAATTTGTGATAAGACTGCATAATATTGGGAGATTTAAAAATGTGCTGATGTTGCTTACTTGCTACTAGAGTGCCTAAGTCGTGTCATCCGTGCAGTAGTTTATGTTGGAATGCTTGCACCTTGAGCGTTGCCCTTGGCTATACTTCTACAGAATTTCTTATCTTTTCATTCGCTTAGTAGTGCATGGCTAATCAATATACTGTGGAGCTTACATATGTCTGTTGTAGGGAGGTTGCTTACATGGAAAGTTTATCGATGCAACACCATTTGCAAGCTCAGATAAGAAGGCTAACTCAGGCAACGAATATAAATCCAGTTCGCTTGTCGATGAACTAGGTTCCATGTTAACTGATTGTGGGTTTAATTATCATGGTTTAGAGGTCCTGTACAGTGGAGTTTACGGGACAGAACTAACGTGTGAGATATTTATTGGGCCTGTTTATTATCAGCGACTCCGGCATATGGTTTCAGACAAATATCAGGTATGAGTTTTTCTTTGAAAGCAATGGCAGAAATTATCATATTCCCTGGCGATACTCTTGATTAGTTGAATTACACATGGAAGCTATTTCATAATGTAATCTTTGTTAATGTGTTATCAATGCCAATAACTTGGGTATGTTTTAACTATGCATTTTGTAATACCCTTTTTTTGTTTCTATCCATATCTCTCTACAGAATGAACTGAGATTCATAATAAGTCGATATTACCTGTTGCGTCTAGTAGGGAACCTGATATGTTGGCATGTATATGATACAATGAGAATGTTAGCTAATGTAACATATGTTATTAGGCCAAACAACTGTGGTCCTCAGTGAGTAATAGGCAATGTAGTTGCCAATGGTTTGATTATCTTGTTCCTTTTTTTTAATATTATTATTTAAGATGTACTGTTGGCAGCAAACTAGATAACATTCTACATTTTCGCTTTCAATCCCCACCTGCATCAATATGTCTACAACGCGGACGTGGTGATATCAATTTTTTAGCTTTTGCATAGTTTTATCTTGGTCTAAATATCCTTTTTTAATCCCTTGTGTGGGGAAGTCTTTGTAGCATTTGATGGCTTTGTCAAATTAGCATTCATTTTTGTTTGCAGGTTCGGTCCACTGGAACAGTAGATCAGGTCACCCGGCAGCCTATCAAAGGTAGAAAACGTGGTGGGGGTATCCGTTTTGGAGAGATGGAACGGGATTCCCTTCTTGCTCATGGGGCAGCATATTTATTACATGACAGGCTCCATACAAGTTCTGATCATCACTTTGCCGATGTATGTTCCCTTTGTGGAAGCATCCTCACAACAACACTCATACAACCACAGAAACGAGCAGTGCGAGAGATTGGTGGGCTTCCTCCTGGTAGATCACCCAAAAAGGTCTTTTGCAATGCTTGCGAGACAAGTAAAGGAATGGAAACTGTTGCGATGCCATATGTCTTTAGATTTTTGGCCGCAGAACTAGCAGCTATGAATATTAAAATGACCCTAGAGCTAAGTAACGGAGCAGGAGCTTGACAGTCGTACAATATTTTAGCAATTGGAACTCTATTTTTATGCATGATTGAAGCCGTTACCAAGAAACCAAAACAGAGGGGCATGATCAAAGAGGCATGAGAACACGGGGATATCGTTCAAAGAGCTTTGTAATTTGTTTGTATTAATGCGCCTAATGCGTGTTTTTATTTTGTATTTCGGTGTCTTTTTTTTCAAGTTTCATTGTAACTAAATTTTGCGGTTTACAAAAGAATTGCTCGTGAAACCCAACTCTCTACATACTTGGTAATGTAAGTTACGTAACGATTTTGTAAATCTATAATATATGCAACTTCAACATCTAGTGTTGATTTGTGATTTTTCAATTTTGCATTGGTGTAAAGTGTTCATTAGTGAACTCATTTTTTATTTTTTATTTTTTATTTTTTATTTTTTTTTTTTTATTTTT